ATCCTCATTTTGCTGCCCATGGGAACCTCAGTCTGTGGACAAAGCAAGAAAGATTAACCATGCCTGCACATCCCCTGGGTGTGTAATGTGATAACAGAAGAGGACACAGCACATGGGGAAAACATTGGCCAACCCAATCCACTTCCTCCTCCGGATAAAGGCAAAGAACTTATGAAGAGCCTAGTGGCTGAGTCCACAGTTCTGCAGTTTTAGGGTAGGAGTCAGAGTTCATCTTCTCTAGCCTTCCTCAGCCCTCATTAAGGCCTTATTAAGCCACACATGCCCCATGAAGCAAACAAAACTCTCATGAGAGTTTGGATACAGTTCTAGTTACCACGGCAACAGTTCCTGATATTGATGTAGTAGGAACCTTCCCCCTTGGGAAGCCATCCCTGCGGATTCAAACTGCCTCAAGGGAAAAACTGATGTATTCAATGAGAGGAATCTGATGAGCTGTCCAGTAGGCCCTCCTACCTTCTGAAGGGTTCTCACTGCTTATTAATGGCAAGGAGAAATATGGCCGGCACTGGGTTTCTGCCAGGCCCTGAGGGTACTGCTTCACAAACCTGAAGTAATAAGTAACTATCCAGGCATTGTGCTTACACATCTCATTCATCCACTGGTTCCTGATCACTTATCAAAACAAAAAGATTTTAAATTTAAATAATAAATAATATATTATAATAATGCAGTAAGTAATATTTGTATGCTCCGTATGACCCAGTTTGCTGAATAGTAAAGTGCCCAATAGTCCATAATAGTCCAAAATGTGTTTCAGCTGGGGTTGTTGTTGTTGTTATCAGGGGTTGTTTCGTAAAAAAAGAGCTAGGGGAACTCATTAGCAGTCGGCCTTGCAGCTCCACTGCCGAGCCCCATGAGGGGCCCGGCGGTGGACCTGCAAGGCCGGCGGGAGTGCAAGGAAGCCCCGCAAAGGCCCTCCCTGGCCCCAGGCAGGCAGGGGTGGGGAGAGGCAGGGAGGAAGCAACTTACCCTCCCTCTTCTCCTGCCTCCTCCTGGCTGAATGAGGGCCGGAAGCGGGGCGGCCGGAAGCAGGGGCGGGGCTTTTTCATGTACCCCGCCCCCCGTACCTCACCCAGGGGAACTGCGATCCCCCATGATTCCCCCCGAAATGACCTCTGGTTGTTATTATTATGGGTTAATACATATTATATAGGGTGTTAGTGTTCCTGGGCATCACCCAGAGTAGGTTCCACCCATCACATGACATGTGATTTACTCAGTTCTGTGAAGCCATTCTGACTCTTGTGAGGATTTAGGCTTTATCCCACATTTCTCAGGGCAGTGAAAAGAGCCTTTGAGTGTTGCATATACTGATCCCAATTGGAACTAAAGATAACAGTGTTGGTGATACATACAAGAGCTAAGGGATGTCAGGGTCCCAAGACTTGATAAATCAGTCTTTGAAAAGTCATGTCAGCTCTGCTCAATCTAAGCAGCATCATTATAATGCCTAATTTCATTATTTCCTGGATTTCTTGAGCCACCTTCTCCTGTCATTTGTGGAGAATTGTTCACCGCACAGCACACACCACCTGATCAGTGTTGATGATATAGGGCATGCTGATTTACAATCATGAAAAGAATGTCAGCGCCCCTCCTAAGAGAAGGTGGGCATTTTTAATATTTTGGGAGTACCTCCTTGGGAGATGCCTCTGCCAGAGAAGGTTCCTAGTAGGCAGGCTCATGGGAACATGTGACAAGGGGGAATTAAGTGATCCTTCCAGGCTTTCAAATTGTTTACACATAGCCGCCTTGTTAAATACTGGTTGCTCCTGCAGTGTACTCTGTAACTGAGAGGTATAACCTCAACAGACCACAACCAGGGTGTGAGAGGAGGATTTACAAATCAGTAACTTGTCTTCAACATAAAACAGTCAGTTTTAGTACACTAGTCATAATGTACTAGTCATAATGCAACAGCCTGGGCTTGTTGCAGATGGATTCCCACCAGGATGCTCCAAGTGAACATTAAACTCTTTCACATTTTCCTGGGGGTTGTTCTAGGCCCTGTGGGCTTCTGCCAAGGCTCATATTCATCAAGAGCAAAGGTTGTATAACACTTCAAAGGGTGAAAAGATGGCTGGAGTTTGCAAGGGTTTTTTTTTGGGGGGGGGATGATATAACCATATACAGATCCCACTGAGTCTGATGGTCCCATGACACCTTCTTCGAACTGGAACTTAAGGTCTGATTGAAAGCATTTGTCAAAACTGGGGATTGTAGACAGATTTTAAAAAGTATTAAATGCCTATGGTATGATTTAGCTGCCTGATAAGAGGTGCTTGGAATGGGATACTCATCCATAAAGAGGCTGATTTATGCAAAGAACTGCATATTTTTAAGGGGATGATTTCAGGATATAGGCTGGCAGAAGGCTCACTATCATACCAGGCAGGATCTACAAAAGTGATAGCCGAAACAATTGCCCCAAGAGATGGGACAACATCTTATTATGGCCCTGGTGGTCAGCACAAACATGTTTGTGACTGAAATTAGTTGCCTTGTGGCTGAGCTGAGGAAATTGTCAAGATGGTTGCCCCCCCCCCGACTAAACGTCTTCCCTCTTTTCCATATCAGGGACATATAGCATGTGGCAGCCATTGACCATCTTGCCTGCACTCACTGCTATCTTCTGACATGAATTGTTGCCAGATCCCTGCCTCTTGCAAGAGCTCACACATTATATCTATTGCTGTGGCAACTGTGCCTGATGTTGATGCAGCAAGAACCATTCCCACCAGGAAAACCTTTGAACCACTTCAAACTTCCAGCCTGCTGGCAATAAGAGATAGGGGGTGGCCCCCTATATGTCCCTGGGAGCTTACTAGCTGTAAATGAAGGCAACAGCCCCTCAGTGTCTGTCCCTAGCATCTGTAGTCAGAGGTATACATCATTTGAATTTGAAGTTTAAGTTTGGCTATCATGGCTAATAAAACTATCCCATATAAATTTGTCTAATTCTTTTTTGAAGCCATCCTTAGGTATAAATTATTATATGTTGCACCTAGCATGTAACAAAAATCCCAACAGCTGCTTATCTTCAATTGAAGGTATTTTCAGCAGAGAAAAGAAAACCTGGGGTGGGGAGAGAGAGTGAAGAGGTAGTTTTTCTCCTTCCTCTCCTCCCTGCCAGCTCCCCCCTGTTTCCAAGCCGGTTTTATATAAGGCTGATTCTGGAAGAACTGGATCCAAAAGTAGGGATCCTGCTCTCCTTAGCAGCATATGTTTTTGCCAGCGTGGAAAGAGAATGGTTTCTCGGTTCTGTAGCTCCGAAACATTTTTGCCTCTCAAACAGAGTAAATCTCCTTACGAAGAACAAAAGAGCTCTTGGTTAGATCTGCCTGCCAATGCTGTGGAAATCTGTGGCGGAAAGGGAGGGAGAAGTGGCGTGCAAAAGAGCAGGCGCACAGCTTCAGCAGTGGGGAGTTTGCCATCTTCCTACCATAATTAAATATTGTTTGCATTGCTTATTGACAGAGCACTAAGCTGCACTCCGTTTTAATTTGTTCTTTGATAGTCGCCTTTTGCTGCTAATTGATTTTCAAGGGGTTTTTGTCTGATTTAATACTTGCCATGCTGCTGAAAACAGAGAGGCAAGGTTAAACAGAACCGAGAAATGAGCCAGGAATCAGCACATCTTCTCAACCAGTGTGTTTTACAAACCTCATCTACCTGATGCAGAAAATTTGCATTTAAAAATAATTTAGCAGCTCTTCCAGTCCCAGCCATTTTCATCCACCGCTCCTGCTGCTTCTGTTGCTATGGTGTTAACTTGAGAAAGGGCTTGCAAGCATAAATGTCCTGGTTTCCCAGCAACCCACACCCTAGGGAATGAGATAGGACTGTTGCTTGTGAGAGAAGCATCAATGCTGGTGTATTATAGTGGTTAAGAGCATAAGCTCGGAGCGGGACATCTTCTGTTCAAAATTGAACTCATACATGTACTAACTGGGTAGCCTTAGTCCTCTGAACTTCAACCCTCTGTCTATAATAGGGAGATTATTATAATAATGACCCACCTTAAAGATTTCATGTAAGGGAAATGGATTTGGATGTCGCTTTTCTCAACATGAAAGAAATACTGATGTACTCAGGAAGGGGGGTTAACCATGAATCCTTCTGGACAACTGCTGTCTTTGTACCGATGGAGTTTACAATATAGAGATATTTCTTATATTTTATAGCATTGAGGAACTGGTGATTTGTAAACTTTCTGTAAGACCACCTAATTAGTTCTATGGCAAGGCCTAGAGACTGCTGTACAAGATGTGTGACACCACTTCTGCGTGACATCATCACGTCATCTTTCGGGCCAGTTGGTTGGCAGGGTTCCCCCCACCAGCCAGTTGGTCGGTGGTGGGGAAGCGCCCAGCAAAGCAGGGTTCCCCCCACCGCCAGCAGGGGTCCGGCAACCCTAACCATTTATCATTCAGTTATTTGTGGACCAAGAAATGTTACTCTTAAGATGGAAATTACTATTCTAGTACAATTTTTTAAATAAAAAAATTAAAGTCTTCCCCTACCAGCTACCTGGAGGTTCCTACCACCCTGGGGGGGGGGATCTTTTTAATTGCCATGAACAGCAGCAGCCTGTGAGATAATGTGCAGCTAAGATGCCAGTGGATCCATACTTTTACTGACAAGAGTTGGGCAGCAGTATTGGAGACACAGGGTGACTTAGTCAGGATTGTGGACGCATGTGGACACTCACTGGCTGGTGGCAATGCACAACAGCATGAACCCATGACTTTAAAAGCTCATCCAGTGCCCTTCTGGGTGGTCAGCAGCTAAATGTCTTCACAGAGCTTTTATCACTGCCCTCACTGTGCATGACTTCCACAGAGACAACGTAGGGGGCTCTCCTCCTTGGTTGCCTGTCAGTAAAACTGACCCTGTCCCACCTACCAGACTGCCTCAGTGATTGCTGCTATCTAAAAGTAGCCTAAATGTTTATGGTATGTCCTCTTTTGTTTTCCTAGGATGGTCCAGAGGGAGAAGAAATTGAAGGTGAAGCATCCAACTCCTTGAAGCTGGACTTCATAGAAGATACACATTTTAAAACGAAGGTTAACTACTCTTATGCTGCTGTGCAGATACCTACAGACATCTACAAAGGCTGTGAGTCACCCTCACACACACTTTTTTCACAGAACTCTGCATTTTAAAACTACATAACACTTGGATTGGGATTATTTTGTCCTTTCCTTATGGTAATAGATAAACTTTAGCTGAACTAGATCAGATCTCTCCCTCTTTTCAATGCAGCCCTCTTCGAAAGGTTACCAAATAACCGAAAGATTTTTGCCTCCTTTTGTGCTTGAGGCTGGGTTTGTTCCTTGGCAAGCATCTTAATGTATAGCACCTGTTCTCTGCTTTTGGCATTCAACTGCTTGGTCATCCAGGGTGACTGGTAGAGGTTGGTGAATTGATGGTTCTGTTTTGCAGCAAAGTGTCATATTAGATAGCAGTCCCTCCCAACTGGATGGATGAGATACACCATCTCAAGCCATTCTATGAGAGGAATACCATATTCTACTCCAGGAACTGTAGATGCAAAGACTTGCCCTCTTGCAGAAAGCTGTAGGGTAGGAGTGAAGAGCTATCTGTGGCCCCTGAGTGTGGATCATGTAGAGAAGGAAGAGGGTATCTTGGCTGTAGTGTGCTGGTTGCTGATATTGGTTGCAAGGGACAAACAGAAACTTGCTAATGTGTCAGGGAAAGCTGAAAGGCACGAGCCATATGCAAAACCTTGAACTCCATGTTTCCAAAACTGATGTGTTTCAAGACTTGATTGATTTGTACTGTAACAAATTCATGAGGTGTGCATTAAAATTTTCAAAGGCTACTCCTTTGTGGGGGTTTTTTTTGGGGGGGGTTAATGGGAAGGCTGTAAAGAGAATCCATGACCTAGCACACAGTGAGGCACACACAAGCCTGGTGAAACTGGTGGGCTTTAAGGCCTCACTATCTGGCGTCAGCTGTTGCACAAAAAGCAACCTACAGCCCAGCTTTTAGTATGTGTTGTCAGCCACATGCAGTGCCGGATTTACGCATAAGCTAAATAAGCTACAGCTTAGGGCCTCGCAATCTGCTGGGGCTTCAAATAAAGAAACAACAAAAAAAATGATTTTAAAAATCTCATAGAAAAATCACACAAATGAAGTCAGACATATCACGATGATAAATTCTAAATAATTTTAAATATACAAAATAGAGGTAAAGGTTTCCCTTGCTCAAAAGCCAGTTCCAGAGAGGGCCCTGCAGGAATATCACTCACTGGGTTGAATGGTGCTTCCTCATCTGCCTCTGCAAGGGGGGGGGGAGAGAACAGCCCGTCAGTGTATTTTCTGTTGCTCTCTCACTCCCCCACCCCAAAAGGGGTCTTGCTCTTGTAATCTTGTGGTATATTCATTGTATACATGTAGTGGAATTGTCTGCTCTCTTCCCCTAATATCTGTGTGATTTGGTTTGGTCCTGTTGGATGGAGCTCTTGTTTCAGTTTCGTTTTGTATAAGCTGAATGGACCTGAGAACAGGTGGTTCAGTGAGTACTCTAGCCTGGGAACCCACAACCACAAGGAAACATTACAGTGTAAGCCTTCAAGCTCCTTTTTAACTGCTGGGGGGGGGGAGAGATTTGGAACTTGGGGGAAAACAAACATGCACAGAGCTTTCATTTTCTTTCCCATTCCTTTCTTCCATTTCTTTCTTTCTTTGTTTCCTTCTCTTTCTTTGTTTCCCTTTCCCCCATTTCTTTCTTTCCCTTTTTTCAATTTCTTTCCCTTTCTGGGAGCCCTCTATCCATGCCTTGGCTAGGCATCAGGGAGGGAGAGGGGGGTGCATCTCAGTGCTGAGCATATTTTACCTTTATTTGATTTCTTATTTGTTGTGATGTCAGTGCATTTTTTGTGATGTCAGTGCACATGCGTGGGGCTTTTGGGGGGGCACTTTCCCCAGCCCCCTCCCCACTAAAAATGTCCTAGCTTTG